TGTAAAACGATATCAAGCTAAGAACTACGCAACCTACAATTCAGTTTAGATCTAAATTGAGCTGTAGGGACAAATAGTTGATAAGTAAAATATTAGACCCCCCCAGCGGGGCTCCACGGGACGACGAGGGATCTCAAATGGACATCGTGGGATGCGTGCGCGTTACAATTAATTTTAAGTGTGCGTTTAATTTTAGTTAATCATAAGATAATTAATATGTATCTGTAAATTCACTGTGAGAGTTTTTTCAATTTGGAATTTGTTGAATATTTCAAAACATATGATTTGATAAAGTGCTGTAGAATTATTCTATGTCTTCTTTTTGATTAAATATCAGGCCCATTCTAAATATATTTCGTCCCTAAGTATATTTCAATAAATAAAACATCCTGTTATAAGTATTAAGTGTATCGTTTCCAACGAAAAATCAATCAATGAATTCGTAAAACATTCAATAGAACTCTTTCCGATACAGACATAAGTACATTATAAAAAATGGAATAATTTTAGATACTAATCTCGTGTTTTGGAATCCGAAAATACAATTAAACATTTTACTTGTATCATTTTACTTGGTATAGTCACAAACGAGCTTTTAGGTATTGAAAGTTTGACAGCACTGTAATGTATCTGAAAAATCATATTGCTGGCGCATTCACTAGTTCCCCATCTTACCGTTATTTGAACGTAGAGTGCGCTAAAAAATCAGTGATTCTTTACTACGTCGGTATTTCAGGTCACTGACCACGAAAATCCGTAAGATCATTAACTAACTTGCATTGCATTACAAGTTAGTTAATGATGCGAGGTCTATTCATATACTTCATCTGTGATTCATATACCTCATCGGTGTTATGAAGTAAGGTCTACATTAGTATCCTTAGTAAATGTAGGTAATGATTGTACCAATTATATCGGTAACGTTGGAAATACAAAATATTCCTACGTTGCCGACAATCCATTTCTACATAAACTATTTCTGCTTTACCTGGAGAAATTACGAAATCGCTGAATAGTTTACTATCTCTATGAAACTATATTCCTGATGACCATGTGCACGTCATACACTACAGTACGCATTGCCACCGAAGCGAGTGGCATGATGTGATGGAATTTGGATCGTTCGAACTTTGAACAAATAGTCATACAGTCATACACTATGCGCGATGCGTTAAACATCACATGCAGTGAGATAGGCTCGAGATAGTTATTCGATTGTGCACATCTACAGTATTGTGTTGAATCTGATTCGTTTCACGCTCTTTACCAACAATCTGTGATTCTTGCGAGTAGAATTTTTTTGTTTTTCAAGAAACTCTCAACGAGAGAGTCGTGAGTCATCTTTTTGTCTGGTCGCGTGTGTGCATGCGTTCACTCTTTCTTTCTGCTAGTTTAAATTCATTCTGACGTGCAGTCGATCTCCGTTTCACGTACGAAAATCATTTATTTATCGGGAACCGAATCGAAAACGTGAACGTCGAGCGAAACGACGCTCGGCTAGTTAAGGTGAGCAAGAACAAGAAACTGAACTAAATCTAGCATTTTGACAACGAGCCAAGTCTCAATTGATTTTTCGTGCCTTCACATTATTAAATTCATTTTATCATTTACTTTAAGAACATTCACTTTAAGAACAATGAATGAATAAATCAAATCTAAAATTTTTATTTAAACTCTAAATTTTGTATTAATTTTCTCGTTTCTGTATTATTTCATCCATATATTTTGTTGCCAATTACCAATTGTAAAGATCCTGTAAAGTTGTTCCAAAAATATATATGCTAAGTATAAATATTTTTTTACAATTAAGCATGCTAAAATAGTAAAGTAGAACATGCCTGAAAATTCAAGAAAGTGATGCTTCTAAACACCATGTACATAATATCAAGGTTCTACAAACATGTATTTAGTTAATATTATCTCAATGTATATATACAGTATTTCAATATGTTGTTAGAATGTAAATTGACCGAAGTGTAAAAACATCTAGGTTTCGTGATTAAAATAAAAACTAACTATTACGCTAAACGCAAGAAATTCTCCGTTGCTTGGATTTTGGAATTGCTGATAATTGGCCTATATAGATCTTATTTTAACCATAAGAAATGGCTTTAACAGTCGTTACGATTTACATTGACTTCGAGCGCTACTCTTCGAAGAAATCGGAACAAAAATTTTTAATCATTATCGTTGAATCGAAGATTATTCCAAAGGAATCGAAGAAATTGAAGTAATATTATCTCCTGAAAGATAAAAATCTATGGTATAGCACGCGATTGCTGAGCGATTTCAGGAACGATCTCAATTTCCCACTAAATTTCGAATTCGACTATCATAGTCTATCTGATTGTTTATCAAAATAAACGGACGTTGTATTGAAATAATTTGAAATAACGCGACATTAACGCGAGAAATATTCCAATATTCTAATTATGTTATAAATTTATTCAATTTTACTATTTGATTTATCCAAAGGAGCTAGAGACATACTTTGTCAAAGAATCGTTTCACAATAATCTGTCAACACAGTAATCTAATTTCGGATTTATCCCAGAAGACAAAGATATGCAAACCGCTAGATACAATTTGCAGGTTATTACAAAACTTCAATGGAATATTTTAAGATACTTAAAATTCGAAAATTCGAGGCATCTGACAATTTCATTATTAGTTACATAAAAAAATTTCACCAAAGAGGAATTTACGAAGTGTTTAATTATTTAGTTATAGATCCTGTGAAATTGATCGGCAAAACGTGCTAACCGATTGTAAATTTACGAGCATTTGGCCAACACTGCTTGAAAATACTTTTGCGTACGCACGGCAACCTGCAAATCCGTTTTAATTTCAATACGCTGTTTATGAATCTGAAGTAACGTATTAAAAAAATATTTACTTCACGTATTTATAATGAAAATGTATTCGTGTTTTAATATTCATTAGCACGTCCTCCTGTTCTTTTTTCAAACTCTTCTTTCCGTGCAGCGGAAGTGTGTCGTACCAGGTTTTTACCAGCTACATATACGTATTCCAGGTTTCTACCGCACGACTCGATATCCCTATTTACATAGGAAAATACATATGTACATTGGAAGAATTCATAACGATGAAATCTTCACCAGTTGAGCCAGTTTTGAACAAAACAAAATTGATGTTTCTCTTTCATTATTTTCCCTCGATAATTTCCATTCAAACAGCTTATGTCACGTTGCATAAATTCCATATATTTTATATGCGTCACGATTAACCTGCAAATGCTGAATGTAAGATTAAATATAAATTTTCCATCAATTGCAATATAATAGCTGTAATTATACATGGAACAATGTCTACTAGGGCAACTTCGTTTATAATATAGTATAGTATAATATATAATATGGTATAGTATAATATATGGTCTAGTATAGTATAGTATAGTCTAACGACCCTTGTCAGCGCAAAATTTATTAATATGCCGATTTTCATTGTCTCATTTAACAATTACGTAACAACATATTGTACGCAATTACGTGATCAATAAAAGACACTTGATGAACATTTCTAACAATTAAACACGATTGGGATTGTTTTTTCCTGCTATTGTAGAAGTTACCAACAGGACGATCTTTTTACTTACCTACAACGCAGAGATAATAGTATTAAAGTATACACATTGTATGTAGATCGATGGCTGTCGAGTTAAAGTGTCAATGAATTCCCATGGCGACCTTTATAAACAGAATTATTTATTTAGGCATAGTATCGAATTGAAAGCAATTAAATATGCGAACATGGTGTGACCGTAGCTACATCGGCCAATTCATGATTGTGCTTATTTAACTTACGCCGACCTGCATGAATAATAACTTCAAGTTCTATCCTCTGAGAAAACGTGATATACGTATTGCGGAAAAAATATAGTTGAAGCATAAAATATATTAGGCGATTCAGATTTCTATGTTTCGAAACTAAAATATGGGGGATTTGAGATTATTTATGTATGGGATCATCCAACGTCAATCCAGAATTTTTTCTGTAGTACATACATTTATTACATACATATATATTTTAAGGAGTCGTATGAAACATACAATGTGAAAAACAAATTCTAGAAATGCATAACTTGTTATTTTTCATACTGTGCATGTATATATACTATATGTACTATGTATGTATTATAAAGAATTTGATATTTGATGAATAACCTACAATTTAAGATGCTTTCGTGAAATACTTGCTTTGTCAGTGTTTAGTTTACGATCACATTAGCATATCTTTTCTATAAACTATTCACGAAGATCAACTACGACACAGTATTAAAAAAAAAAAAAAATATCCTCAAGTCTCAATAACTTTAATTTTTATCAGTGATCGCGAAGTAATGTGTACTGAGTAAAATGTAAACATAGTTTTCACAGAAAAGAATAACGATAATGAAATGAGTCATATACACCAATAATCGATTACTTTTACAAACTATATTCAAATATGTTTTCATATGTAGTTTTTATCACCAATAGTATCGCATGTGTTGATTCTTTTTCAACTTAAATATTTAACATATTTTTGCAAATGATAAGTCTTTCTCTGTCTTTAGCGCAAAGGGATGCCATCAAAATGGGTTTATATAATCCTTAATCTGATAGTTTGTGTAATTGCATCTGAGGAAGACGAGGCTACTAGAGCGTACATAAAAATAACCGAATTTGATTACGAAGATACTTGCCTGAGTACAGCGGAAGCGCAATGGGAATTCATTAATTCACCATCGAATGAAAAATTATCAGTATGGGTATGTTTCGCAATTTACGAACACGGAATATACATAGATAAATATGCAAAAATCTATTAATATGCTCGTTCTCTTGTAGGAAGAGAAATTAATATCTTATGCCGCTTTCAAGAACACAGAAAAAGACATAGTAGCCAACATTTCAAGAGCTGATATTAGCGATGAATCTTTACAATACAAATACGATGTTGCTGAAAAAATAGGTGATGCTCTATTGGATATTGAAGATTTTAAGACAGTAAGATTTCGTTTTATTTTTACAAAGATATTTTAATCGAGCTTACAACGTTAATCTTACTTGTAGCTTGTTCATTTTTCCGGCATCACAGAATTGATGCGATTATCTATAATTCATGAAGGAATTTTGAATGGTCACACAAGAAAAGGTAGCAGAAATTTCAATTTATCATAAAGAAATTTCAATGTATCATAAAGAATTGAATTGATATCATATATATTGGGAATTTCAGATGTAGAACGTATACTGTCTCGTGATAGTAATATTAGAAACAAGAGCACTGTTTGGACAACATGGCATCGAGAACTAGCTCCATTAGTTAATAATTTTTCAACTATCTTACCACTTGCTGATAAAGCTGCCAAAGCGAATGGTGAATATTTTTGGAAAAATAAAGTATAATGTTTGTACTTCGAGTTACATAACTAATATGTTATTACTTCGATTTTAGGTGCCAAAGATGTTTCAGAATATTGGGAACTCTTAAGTGGATATAGCGATGGTTATGACAAAATTAGATATAAATGGAATAGGATTATCGATCTTCATAAAAAGATATTGAAATTCGCAATAACTACCTTGACTAACAAGTATAATATTAATATGAATGATACAATACCAGCGTACTTACTTGGTAAGCTAATTACACTCTTAAATAAATAATATAAATATATTATATAAATTGCATTTGTTATAAAAGGAACCTTACAAGGAACTGATTGGATTCCTATATCAATTGATGTAACACCTTATCCAGATCTTATATATAATATTAAAAAAAATCTTTGGAAAAGGGTAATATTTCATTTATCATTTTAATGACAAATGAAATTTGAACAGAAAATTGAATTAAATTTTATTTTAGAAACTTCTTGGGAAATCACTCTACAAAACTGCTTCTGCTATGAGTACACAAATACTAAGTCAAGTGCCCCAAGCAGAATTTTGGGAGAAAAGTTATTTCAACCAGCAGTGTCCATCAAAATTAATTAATTTTTGCAAAAATGCTGTTTTGAGGTATTTTATAATTAAATATTTCAAAAATTATATATATTTTTAATTGTTTTCATATTATAGGGTATCTACTTGCTTTGAGCCTACTATAAGTAATTATCTTTCTGCTCACAAAAACGTAGGAAAAATTGTGTTCAATCAATTATCTGTCGAAGATACACCGATACTTAACACGGCTAATCGATATTCAGGTAAGATATTAACAAGAAATACATACTTCTGAAACTGATTTATGAAAAAAAAATATTAAAATTTTATTTTCAGCTTTAGAGGAAGGTGTATCGGAACTCTTTGGTATTTTAGCTGCAAGTCCTGCTTGGTTAAATTACACGCGTATTATCGATGATTCTAGCGATAATGATCAAAATTTAATAACATCTCTTATGATTACTGCATTGAACACGTTACCACAGATTGTTTATTATATATCTGTAGACATGTGGAGAATTAATGCTATTAAAAAAAATATAACAAATTCTGAGGATTTAATATCATCTTGGTGGGAATATAGGTAATATTAATTGCTTAAAATATTGAAATTATATTCAATATGTTTTAAAAGATTTTTCAATACAAGTTATTAAAATTTCAATTGTAGAGAAGAATATGAGGGACTCGACTCTAATGGAATAAATTTACCTACATTTTTAAATGACGATTATATTACAAGCAATAAACCATATCTGCCGTAAGTAGTAATAAAAATCTTAAAACAATAGTATACTTACATTGTTACAAACAATGTTGTTATAAATATTCTTATAGGAAAATAATTGGCACAATGTTAGCATTTCAATTATATGAATATCTGATGGAATCTACGGAAGTTAGATATGACTCAATCGTGAGAAAACATATGAATATTGATTTCTTGTAAGTACTATTATAAATACTATTTACAAATAAAAACTCTAATGGTAATTTTCTGGAAAAAAGTAAAAACGTCTTTTTGATAGAAAAATGATTCAGCAAGGAAGTGCCGATGATTGGATGAAAGTAATAGATAAATATTTGGAAATAGACGAAATTTCACCAGACTCGTTACTCTCATTTTTCTTACCGTTAGAAGATTTCATTGATGAGCTGGATGATGATTTCCAATTCAAAGCGGTTACCGCCAAAGAATCAGAATTAGACGAATTAGAAAAAGAAATAATTATGGAAATGAATACTCCGTTAACGACCACTAGCACAACTCCTACTCCGAAACATGTGAACACAGAACCAAAAATGTCGGATGCAAAGTCTTCGAACAAACAAAATGACAAAAGAAGCGATATAAATACTGTGACTAATTCCGACAAAAATTTAGAATCTAAATCGTCTATATATACATCAGAGAAGAAAGCAGAAAATCATAATCCATTACAGTCAGTAACAGCGGAAGTTCCTTTTGATAAGTCATTACTTGATATTCAGGACACAGATAAGAAACCAAAGATTAGTACTAATAAGGCAGTATGGGCGGTGGGCGCAGTGTTGATAGCAGTAATAATCATTTGTATAATTGCGATATTCGGAAGACAAAGATGTCGCAAAATACCAAAAAATAGACGATACGTTTAATAGTATCCATTTACGTTGAAAAAAATCTCTACATCACGTATATATTTATTTTCGCATTTAGTCTATAACATTTTCTCAAGTAAGTTATTGTTATAAAGCGTTTCGTAGAGAAAAACATTTATTAATTCGCAATATCTAACATTGTACATTCCTTACTGTTCGTTGCAAAAGAGAAACAGAGGCTACTCTCAGAATTGTAGTGTGAATACTAGTCTCTTGATACAGTTGAGCAGTACACATGAAAGAGCTTAATAAAAAGAAATGATGAGTATTAATAAGTATAAGCGTAAATATTGTATTCAATTCTCTAATTGGAATTATTTAATTTTTATTGTATTATGTATATATGTATACAAATTTAATATGTATTAGTATTAAAAATAGAAAAGGAATGTCGTAATATGCATGCCAAGTACAATAGTTCCTCCGCCACTATGCCAAATTATAAAAAACTAAAAAGTTTTAAGAAACGCACAAAATAAAAGATGTCTTCCTCCTTTTTTGTAGAGCTCGTAGGATATGTACTTCAATGGTATCTGTATCTGTTTATGTATCATATTTTTCAAGATATGATTTGTACATAATTACTCATACAGAATTGTAAGATAAAAAGCATAACGTATCATAACGTTAATCATGTCACAAAACCAGTGTAACATATTTTTCTAACATAATAATATCATGTATAATATTTATATACATGTAATTTGTATACAATATAATCTTTATATTAAGAATTTATATTTTTTATAAAAGTATTTATTTTGTACCACATAAAGTAATCTAATAAAGTATTCTTCTGGTACAAAATTAATATGCGTTAGTTTTAAAAGATTAATTTGTCTCTTATCTATGATGTTGGAAATCATTGAGCGTTCTGTCAAATTGCAAATATAAATACAAGGATGTACATGATGCTTATCTAAGTCAATGCTTATCTAAGTCAATACGAAACTCATACGTACACTTCATACATTTAAAAAAGGTAAATTAACGAGCTGATTTCAAGTTTTAAATACAAATTATTTTCCGTTATTGCAAAATGTAGCTGTGTTTTTCTATTTTCTACCAAATAAAAAAACAAGTTATAACATTTTGTTTCTATAACATTTTCTAATATGATGAGTGAAATATAATATAATCTCATAGATCCTTTGATATTCAACAAAAATTCCATTATCAGATAAAAATCTTTTATAAATAAATATCTCACCTTATATAAGATATTACTCATATAGGCAAATGTTTTTAGTATCGCATTTGCTATATTTTAGATTGCTCTCTTTTACACCAAAGCGTAAGATGCAGATTATGCAAAGAAATAACAATTTTTCTGCACATGGATATCAAAGCGCAGAAAATCAATATGAGACGAAGTCGGTTCGGAATCACGGAATCATGTTGTCTCTTTCAAGAGGTATTATTGTAACTCCAAATCAGTAACATTCGCTATTATCTCTTAACGATTACTCATATATGAGTCATCTTAATACACGGATCAATCTATTTGTAAAAGTATTTAGAAAAATATTTGTTAAAGGAATGTGGAAAGTTGTGGATCAGTTGTTCGATCATCAATGCCTAGAGAGGGTGTTCTGGACATGCGCAGGATAACTTGAAAACATTAAGGGATGACCATACCACCGGTAGTTCATTATCATTGTGTCCTTCGCATCAGATCGAGCAACAATACTCGAGACATTAGTGGTTAAAATTACGCACACGCGAGGAGAGCCTAAGTGCAAAACGGAATCATCCCCTTTCCTCATAAACGACCGTAAAATTCGAGAGCATGCGCGTACGACGTTAGACAGGGGTTGTTGCAGTCAGGGAGGGGCTCTCTTCGCCAGAGTGACTCAGAGTATGCATTCCAGAAAGTACATCTTCGGGTGATTTTTAAGAAGTGACATGCATATATGACCAC